TATTAAATAAACATATTCTACACTTATGCATATACATATCACCATAATATTTCTATTTACTTAAGATATATATTTTTGTACTTATGTAATAGTAAATAATATCGATATTATTATGATATAAGTAAAAAAATTCAACACGGGTTGACATTTTCATATACATATTGTATATATAAAATAAATAAATTATATTTATCTTTATAATAATAATAAAATTATTTATTACAATTAATTAGAAAATAAAATTATTTATCAATTAATATTTTTCATAATATTAAATAAACATATTCTACACTTATGCATATACATATCACCATAATATTTCTATTTACTTAAGATATATATTTTTTTGCTTATGTAATAGTAAATAATATCGATATTATTATATGATATAAGTAAACAAATTCAACACGGGTTGACATTTTTATTTAATGTACATGTGTTTACTTATTATGATTAAAAAAATATAATTTGACAATTTAATTAAAACCCAAAGTAGTGTTTTATATAAAATTAAATTATTTTAATTTTTAAAAAAATAAAATAATTAATATTTTTTACAAAAACTTTCTAATTCAACACCCGTGTAATACACGGGCATTGCACTAGTACATATGAAAAAGATAAAATAGATAGAATCCTGACTCTGAACACTAAATTTGAAAAATCAGTATTACAAAAATGTAATTTCAAGACTTTTCATTTGTAGGATTACAAGAAAGTAGAAATAAGCAGCAAAACTTTGTTAAGGAAACCTAAGATTGATAGACCACTAAAGTTTTCTGGAATTCTACTTTTCACGCACATAATTGAAATGAGACATTATTAACCACTCACAAAGGCTACTTTGAATGTCAAAATCATTATCATTCGTGAACTTACTTGTAACTTCTTTTCTTCTTCTGTGTCCATCGCAAGTTGCTTTTGCAGCTCTTGTATTTTTAGTGTAAGGTCAATTTTTTCTTCCTAGAACCATTTAGAGTTAACATTCTTCAAGATTTCCCACACTGCTAGTGCAAGTATGAAATGAACAATTAAAAGAATGAAACAAATGAGACTTACCTTTCCTGCACTCTTGTAACGCTTGGTCAGTGCTTCTCTCTCCTTTTCCTTCACATTATAATTGCATTTCAGATTGCAGCTACCAAATAACATTGCCAGACCCCACTTCATAGTAATTAACCGGGTTCTATAAGCTTAAAATTCTTTCCTAGGGCATCTATAGCACACACAACACATACCTTGAGTTCCCGTAATTGCAGAGCTACTTTCCATTCATTGGAATAAAGTCTTTCTTCATGACTACGAAAAAGAGCATCTGAATAATGCGCAAGATGAAAATGCATTTGGTTTCTTTTCTCTTTAGATAACTTGTTAGTATTGTTATCCTCCGCTAGATTAACAGCTTGTTTCAGGTACTTCTCTAATATAGTCCTGGAACTGCAGCAGCAATTGCATAAAAGTAACTAATGAGAATATGATATAATGTTTATTAAGATATATATTATATAGACATATTTGGTCATCATCATGAGTTCAGAGATTAGCTTGAATGTGATTACCCTTTGCTTAAGCTTTAGAAGGGTAATAATAATTTCAACTTTGCAGAATTAGACAATGACACCGTTGGTAGGAATAATATTATGAAATCACAGGAGTTGGATGTTTATAGCTTAAGTTTAATAGCATATGGTACCAATACAAGCCTTCAATGTAGAATATTTATACAATTCAAAGTAATGACGCTTAAAAAGCATCTGCAACACTTCTTAATCAATCAAGATATAATTCAAAACTAAAAGATGGACATATGAGTAAAGGAAGATTATCAGACTTTTAACTGTTTCTTATCAAATTTGTCGCACTATTTACTAATTTAGTCTAATAATATATATATATATTTTTTTTTTTATTTGCAGATGACTACAGGTGTAGTTAATGTAAACATGAGTGAAAAAACAACACATCACTAACTTGCTCGATCGTGTTTCCGCAAGCCATTTACCAACTAAGCGAAATACATCAGGGGCCTCTTCTTTCAACTGCTGATTTTGTGAAATATAATCCGCAAGGTTGATTGCCATCTCATGCTGACCTTGGGCACGCAGAAGCTTAGCTTCTTCTAGCTTAAAAAGATAAAGATGCATATAAGTTATAAAGCCATTTCAAGGAACATAAAGTTTACCAACTAAAAGATTATTTTGTAGAACATAGCATCTAATGACCAAAAGAGCATATGAGCAGAAGCTGTGGTACAGAATAGTCGTATCATTTCCCACACCCAGAACAGAGTTAAAGCTTAGCTTGTGAAAGGAATAGTTCCTAAAACTCTAAATCAAATGAGTGAATCAATAATCATGCCAATACGAAGCATGGCTTCAGAATAAAAAATTCTCAAAACTTGAATTTAGTATAGTTCGTCCAAAGGAAAGTGAATCATTTCAGGCAGAAATAAGTGATTACGTTTGAGAAGCTAGCAAATTATAGTTTTGAAGCATTTGTGTAATGTTTATCGATATCTGCCTTCACCAAAATATAAGACACCCTATAGTACTATAATTTCTCTACATTAGGCCAGGAAACAATGTATTTAAAGTTTTTGCAAGTCATCGAAAAACCAAATGGAAAATGCATACCCTTCCAAGCCAGTACAAATTGGAATATTCTTCTCCCATCTGAGAGCAGAGAGATTTAAACTCATGCAATGCTGCAGCAGCCTGAGAAATCCTAGAGCCCTGCAGATAAACCAAGTAACCAGCTTAGTCGGCCCTCCTTTGGTTCCTTCAAATATGTAATACTAACCTTACCTTACGAAGAACCGAGGCTGCTTCGCGAAGATGATGCACTTTACTATCCATAGAGTTCAAAACCTGAAGCAAGACTCTTCTGAACGCAATGAATGGTTCCAGCAAATTCATATGTAAATCTGTTTGTTTTAAAATGCAACTCCAATTCCTGTGTAGCCATTGCAACTGTAAATTTTAAATTCACATGTTAGTCTGATATAAATTAAACTTTTTGGCATTTAGTCCTCCCAGATACTCCCATCAAACTTAAAACAAGACATCCTAGCATGAGCTAAAGTGGCTTTATCACTCATAAGCAGTATTTTTATAAGAAAAAACTGCCAGATAAGCTCCACCAATACTCTGATCTATGTTTCTAACAAGAAACCAAACGATGGAAAACTCCAAACCTGATCAATGGTAGGGATTACAGGTTCCAATAACAATTTCTGTCTGCCAGAAGAAGAATCAAAGTTCTCCATTAATGAACACCATCTAAAATCCCATGCCATGCCGAGATGATAAAATATCTGGCAAGAAAATAAATCCAAAACACTGAGAAAGTAATCAACTATGTAACCTCAATCCCTAGCAACAAATAAAATTTTAAAGATGCTCTTATTTGCATCTGTATTGAATTGATGTACAATAAAAAGGCTCCAACGGAGGCTTCACCAGAGGCTCAACAAACATGGAAAACCTTAAAACCATATAATAAATATAGTGAGAGATTATGTACCTGAAGTTTAACTATACTTGAGTAAATGTGCTCAGTACTCTCCTTACTGGCATGGCAGATGGACATCAAAAGAGCCTGAGAGACGTGAAAGAATATTAAATTCTAAAGGTTATGGTATTAATGATATATAGCATATTTGCACTTACTAACCTGCTTTGAGTCTTTCAGTGTCGTATGGAACTCATCAAATTCTCCCTCTTGTAAAGCTCTCAAGCAACTGTACCACATCAAGTAGAATATGAGCAATAATTGATGTCCAAACATCAACATCATGCTAATATATCAAAAACTTGAGCTGGTTCCTGATAAATTCCAATATTGGTATTTCATCCATACCCACACAGCAGCAAACTTACAAGATAGACGAAGTAACGTATACTAAATGGATCTAGAAAATTATTGGAGGAACAATAGGAAATAAGAACATACTTGTTACTCCCTGATTCTTTCATTGTCAAAGGTAAAACAAATCAACCAAAGGAAGCCTTTCAGCTATGTTACCAGAAAATATCAGTAGTAACATTTCCAACGCTTCAGAAAATGTATGTATATATACTTAATTGTATTAGCCCTTCACATAGTAATTACTTTGCCGCACAACAGACTACTATGGTGGTTTATAGGATCAAAAGTTCCAGAATGCATAAGAAATAAATCAAAGCTATATAAGTTTATAATAAAACATCAATACCTGTGCAGATTTTCATTGAAATTATGCCCATCATTGCATTGATATGAAACTGATGTATCAGCACCAGAATAGAGTGGACAAAAATCCCAGTTTCCAGCACGCCAAGCAGCTTCATACTGCACAACATAGGGAAGAATTAAAATAAACCAAGTCACAGACACACATAAGAAAAAGAGGGAGGCAAAACTGGAGAAATGAAACAGGGATGGTGACATCAGCCTAAAGAGATATTATATCAAACCTGCAGCTCGCTAAATTCTAAATCATGCTGAAACCGGCCCCTCTGAGAAGTTAATCCCTGACAATATACATCCAAGACATGAGTGCACCCAACTTGCTGTAAAGATCTAATTAGTCCTTTGTAAGGTTTCTTCTGGTTAATGCCATGTTCTGTTTCGGAGACGGGTGCATGTTCTGTCTGTAAATAGTTCCCGGTAGAAGAATCGATGAAACTACTAATTTGTGCAACTGGCTGAGAGCGTACTTGCATATCATAGTATTCAAGTGCTTTACTCCAATTACCCTCATGTTCAAAAGTGATTATTTGAGATGTAAGCTGCAAATCAAGAAAAGGACTACTGTGATTACAATGATTCCTGAGTTAATAGCAAAACTAAAGGAATGTCATGGCTGTATCAGCATGGAATGTTGAATTGTCTTGGATTTTCTATGTTTCACACAATTATGACTCATAATGGTGAAGGAACATGCTGTCATGGGCTAAAACAGAACTACCTTCTTGATAACAATGTGTTTGAAGAGTCGTAGCTAAGGTTTCCAGTTGATCAAACTAACCAAGAATGTATATGTGGTATCATGAGTAACGGTTCACAATGTGCAATAAATACTCTGATTTTAATGGAATTTCAAAAAAGAATAATAGGTCGCATAAGTTTTTCTATGCAAGTAATAAAGGAAAGAGCATGCATAAGAAGTAAATGACTAGGGAAAGGCAACTACCTTCAAAACAATATCCTGAATTAAATAACATATATTAGATAAAAGAATAGTCAATTTGCAACTATAATTATCGTAATTCCCTCACTGAACATTTTCGTTCTGAATAATGCATAAGATGTGTCCAACTATGTGAAGTTCAGAATTATTTTATGACAAAACCTTCAACTAACCTTGTGAGACTGAATAATCCCATATAGACTGTCAGGCTCATTGATTTGGGTGACTGCTGATAGAAGTATATCGACGTGAGGCGGGAGCTACACTCAGAAAAGCAAACAAGTTTAATTGACTGAGTGTCTGGCATATAGTGAGACGGGAGCTTCATAATTGAGACCCGTAATCCAAAGATATCAGGCAGATAAAGAACAAAATTTGGAAAAGGCATGGGGAACATACTGTTTCATGGTGAGAGAAATCTGGGCTGCCCAATGTCAGGCCATTAAAATGCTCCTCACACCAGTGCTCAACATAAAGAAAAGCAGTAAAGTAGGAGCCACAATCCTGCAATTACATTAAATTAAGGAAAAGGAAAAACAATTTGAAAATTATTAGACGACAGTATCATAAGATAGAAGAATTCATGAACAGGAAACCAAAATTGTACTCACAATAGCAGACTTTGCAACTACAAGGTAATCCACAGCAAGCCAATAAACCTGGACAAAGGCTACCAATCTATAAGGGGATAAACTTCGAAACCTCAGACAGAGAGAGAGAGAGAGAGAGAGAGAGAGAGAGATGAAATCAAATATATGTAATTCACTTGACACGCTGATCAATGGCTATTGGCAACTCATTTTCAATTCCAAACATGAAGTTATCCAGTAAAGTGTTTCTGAGAAACTCAAGAGAGTATTGAAAACATAACAGTATTAGTTCTTGGAACCTATACTGCTGTGGATCTTTTGTGAAGAAATCTTCAGTTATACATTCGTAGGCAATTTGATGTATACTGGTAGNATTCCAATACAAAAAGATTTAATTGTTCATTCAACAATTCATTCAACGTAGTTGCATAGGCATAAGAAGTATCAAATTTTCTTCAGAAAGTAAGATAGTTTTTACTGAACAGATTGCACAATTGTTGTATCAGAGATGCAAAGCTGAAAAACAAACCTTTTCCCATAAGGATGTTGATATTCCTAACCCCAAAGACGCTGTCTCAAGATCTTTTCCCTTAGAAGTTACGGAACGTGACCTCAATACAGACGATGGCTGTTTGGTATGCTGTGACACAATAAATCAAATAATGAAGAGTTTCTAGTTCCTCAAATATATCTGGCATAATACCCATGATATTATTTTAGAATAAATTAGTTGAGTTGCTTCTGTTATTTTTGTGCTTTTCTAGATGGTTGCAGAAGAGGAATGATTCTCTCCATTCCACTTATATTTCATTATATATTCCACCTTCATTTGTACAAAGCCACGAGTATGTGATCCAAAACTAAAGTGTTTACACTTAGAAAGTATTTTATTCATTTAACAGGGAAGAATTTAATTAAGATATATGGTTCTCCTTTATCACAAAAAGTTCCAATGAATAAAAAAAGATAGCTAAAAGGAGAAGGAAATATCTACCTTTGAAATTTTTGGCTTATTAAGTGAAGCAGGAGACTTGGTTCTTTCCATTACATGGCATTGTCGAAGCTCATTTAGAGAAAGCAAAAATACTTGAACCGATTTCTTCAATGCATTTGACTCAATAAATACATGTTCTTGCACCTATACACAAGGAAAATCCCATGCATTGTTATCAAGCTAATTATGACTGATTCATGGAGTGAAACAGTTCACGCATAAGCAAACAAGCACGAGAACAGGTGTATCAAGTCATGTTTTGATTATCCAAGACAAATAGTTTTATTAAAAGACAAGCATGTAACCTTCAATGAGATAACTTTACAGATATCAATATTTGACCCCTTCCTTCCAGCTATATTAACAATGACTTCAGGAAATAGAAGTTCCGCAACTTCAGATTTAACCAGTACAATATCTTGGCATAATCTGCAAGAATTATTACAAAGATCAGCTGGTTAAATTCAAAGAAATTAGGCACGTCACCAATAGTAGGGATGGAGACTGAAGAACTCTTGCAAGGAAGATGGACAACCTAAGAATAAGGTCATCACAGTAACTTATCATGGCACAAACAAGTGGACAAATCCATGCCTCAAATGTTTTATCACCAGTAGACCACACAGCTGAGTCTTCTATGGAAACTGATTTAGCTGACAAAGAAAGCAGCGAAGTTAACTCATTAATTTGTTAAACAAACAAAATCATTTAAATTCATTTAAAATGAAGACATCTTTTATGTTTCTTTACTGAAGAAGAAATTTTCAACTTTTAGACTTATCACAGGTACACCTTTTACCATTTATAAATGTAATCAAGACAAAGATTGACGCATAAAAATTATAACATTAGCTGAATAGCTCTTCTTCATCTGCAAATGCAGCACATTAGTTACTTGTCAAACACAGCAACTTAATCTCAAAGCCATAGTATTACCAGACAGAATCTTCAGCCAACTATGGACTGTTGAACAAAATTAAAAGGGAACAGAAACCCAAGGAAGAGTGGTATTGTCGGCTCAGAATATCAGTAAAGAATCATCCATTTCATCTTCCTTGGTGCAAGAATTTTTTTCATTCCAACCGTGTTCCACACAATTTCTGTTCTACGCAATCTGTAGGCTATAATAATATATGATGGCATGAGGCATTAACTTGAAATATAGAAGGAACTTTAATTTAACCTACCATCATATTTTCTCTGCAAACTTGCTATTAAACTTTGTACAAGCTCCAAATTAACGCCTTTCGAGTGGACCTACAGGCAATAAAACATCAATGGACCACCATCATCAAGCCTAGTCACCACCCAAAAATGAAAATTAGGAACACCAATTTAAGTCACAATAGCATAATTGGGAAAACACAACCAACCTCCATAAGAGATCTCTCGTATGAATCCAAATTTAACAAAGATTGCTGACCCTTTTCAGTTGAAAGAATCCCCTGAGCAGGTGGAGTAAAATGCAAGTATTAAGAACAAGTATTTCAGCCACTAGAAAGAAAAACACATCATTAAGTTGACCTATCTCACTTGAGATTTATTAATATTAATAGGAAACTACTTCAAGGAGAAAAGAAAACAAAGTTTTCACATGCTATATTATCTTCCTCTCCCACTTATGCTGCTTAAGTTATTACCAAATGCAGCTATTTCATACTAATTTGGCCGTCAACTTGAGCTCATTTAAGCTTGTGGCTTTTTGAACATCAAAATGTTAATTTTTTCAGAAGGCTCTAGTTTCTTTCTATTCAAGGATAAGCATACTTTAAAATGTCTCACATCAAGTCGAACCACTCAAGTTCAATTTTTCCAATCGTTTTGCACCAATTAATAAACACAAATCTGCAATGACAGCCAGACATGAGACAGCCCATATTGCTGTAACCATGTGGGGCAAGAAATTGAAAAGAGAAAAGGAGAAACAAATATATTCACATCGTACATTATACACGACATAAAGCATTTACAAACCACTTTTCCTTAAAATAGGAAGTGCTAACCAGAGAGGGTCTAGAACCACGAACTTAAAAAGATACCATTCAATAAAGTAAACTAGCATTTCAACTTCATCACGTATTATTCCAACCTTGATTAAATCCATATATATTAGAAGCAGTGGGGACTTGGCAATACCGAAAGTGTTAAATGCATACAATCGTTATTTTAGTGAACTCAAATCATTTTGTCTTCACATATGAGAATTTATGCTATTTTATTTAATTGCAACTATACGTAGTACAAGTACACATCCGTATACCTAAATCTAAATGTACACAGTTCGCTTTTGTTGAGGTGAGATGACTGTTGTGTAGGAATCATACCAAGATGTTTGAAGTCTACAACTACTTGGTATTAACCATTGGAAAGAAAAACTTTTTATGAAGTTCAGAAAGGATGGAGTTTGAGCATTAGATAACATTTTACGAGTATATTAAACACACAAGATAGGTAACCATAACATGCATAAGCTCAAAACATAATGACAAGTAAACAAACCAATTACATGGAACTTCTAGCAAACTCACACGTAAAGCTTGAGAAGCCAAGTCAATCATCTCAACAGAATCATCCATTAAATACTTCTTTAATAGTCTCATAAGTACAAGAAGAACTTCACTGCACATGGCTGTATCTGTGCAGATATTGGGATCTGCAGCTTTAACAGCATTGGCTAGTCCAGATACATGCCCATTAGACTCCCCAGGAATATGAAAAACAACACGATGGGGATCACCAATACCAACCTGCAGTTACATATAAATCTTAAGAAAATATGTTCAACTCACCTCTTGTGTGCATGCAAGATTGACATTGCAAGACAGATTAAGTACCCTGGATATAAAGTCAGACACCATAGCTCCAAGATCATTTGTGTCATCTAAGCTACATATTGAAACAAGACTCCAGGGAGCATGGGCAATTTCATTATCCGAATGCCAGTATGCATCTTTGAGAAAATTCTCATCCTCATCAAGCTCCTTTCTCAAATGCCTTCCTTTTGTGGATATATTCTTGTGCAATGCTTTCAAACTGCAATTGTGATAAATGGATAAAGCTTTCATTAATTTTTATATTTCAAAGAAAATGTTTAGAATAAAATTTGGTCGCTAATTTATTCAAGATAAATATAGGTATGAAATTATTGATAAATAAATAGGCCTGGGTAGAACTCATCCCCAAAAGGTAGAAGGTGTCCAACCCACATTAATACATAATCACACTTTTACACAGTAATAATCCAGTAACTAATCAATGTGGGACAAACATAAACTTCTTACACCAGCCCTCATGCGTAGAGTGACAATCTAAATGGGTCAAATCCAAACCCAACATTACCATCAAACAAACAGACTTAGGTGCTCTAGGTAACAAGTATTCTGACTCATTGATCCAATGCAGCTGCTATTGAGTATCAACATAATTCTTTGATTATCTTAAAGATTTTATTGATTTTCATATATATATTCTATGTAAAAGAAATGGGCAAAATTTTTCGTCCTAACCTTTAGGCTTTTCTACTGATAACAAATCGTACATAGGACAACAGAAATTATAGAACTACCTGTAAAGAAGGAATCTTGGCGGGACATGTTGAGATCTCTTCACAAACTAAACGAGACATTAATAGAAGTCACATAAGAACTAAGAAATATAGGACAAAGAGGAAAAATAGGAGTTGCATAATCAAAAGCCTCAGAATTAAGCATACACACCGACTGCTTACATTAAGTAAGTGAGCCCTTGGTGAGTAAGTTTCACATATTTTCTCATGGAACATCCGTATGTCATCAAATATATTGAATTCCGGGAAAGGCTCTAACTCCTGACGAAAAGTTGTCAGATAGTAAACATACGCAGCTAAAACAAATTGAACATAACAAAATACAAGGTGAAGCCGCCATAACATTTTCAGTAAAATAACATTACTTACCGACAACAAATAGTTCGCCAAGGTTATACCAAGTCATACCTTAATGTATTCATACAGAGATGAATCAGAACCGACGGTAAGCTGCTGGAGCAGCAACAACGGTTGAGATGAAGCCTTGGCAGAGAGTTTATCACAGGATGCAGAAGGAGCACAATGTGCAACCAACTTAGACACCAAAAACTGATAATTAAAGCATTAGGTTAGTACAGAAAATTATACGCTATTGTCAAAACTAGTAATACATGCTCCTACCTGAAGCTGTTCACCCAACACTCTTGTAGTCTCCACTGAAGGACTATCTCTTGATACCCTCAGCAATATGGAGATGATACAACAACATTGATCCGTTAAATAATGGCAGTCAACAAAGTGGCCCGTCAAATTCAAAAGGTAACTGCTCAACAAACAAGAAAAATTATTACCAAATATAAGGTAGTCTTAGATATAACGAGAAATAATTAACTCACTTAGAAGTACTGGGAATTGCAGCTCTACTCCCAAGTAGATTGACAAGCACCTCGACCCCAGCCAAGTGTTTACATTTATGCCAATGATGAGCTGCAGCAGTAACTTTGTAATGCATATCAAGAATGAACTGCAGAACCACAATGTCAGCCAATTAAAGATGAAATGTCAACATAAAGGCATGTACACACAATTGGGCAGGATACAAACATTATCTGAATTCTGGGAAAAAAATAAATAAATAATAATAATAATTAGATTGTGGGGGCACCATAAATACTCTATCAGGTCTAAATATGTTAATCTTGTCCACAAGGTTGGAGTTTCTAGATTGATCCTCGCTGCAAGAATTGAGTAAAGAAGTTTAGAACTATAAAATTCATAATGACTAAGCGATAAAAAGAAAAGAATTTGAAAACTCAAAAGAAAAAGAAGCACCTATCCAAGAACCCATCTACAACAATTCGAATTGCAATTTCAATAGTATCTTTAGAGAAGAATGGTAGTGGAGGGTCTGCGAGACTGGAAGCTAAAGATAATGTTTGGTTCACTATGGAAACCTGCAAAAGGTTGTTAGAAATCAAAATAAGAGAAGATCAAAATAATTTGATGGGAAAATACGTATTTCAAATTAAAAATATCCTATTATATAATCTATGTAAGTATTGGGAACAAAACTTGGATCATACCATGCGCTTCTTAATTAGTTCATCTCGTTCGTGTTCAGATATTTCAGCAATCTGAAGAATATATGATCCCAGCACCCTAGATCCCTTATCACACTCAGCCTTCTCTCGATATCCCTTGTCACTCTCAACTTTATTGTTACAGTGTAACGCCATACATATAGAAAAGATGTGTACAAAGTGATACTTAATTAAATCAGCACAAGACTGGTGAGCAACCTGGAAGTATACATGATCAAACACAAATTTTATAATCCAACAATAATCGATAAAATGTTTCAGACTATAAAGCAAAGGGAAAACATATGTAAAGAATTCAGTATACAACTATACATAAAGTTAAAACTCTGCTAATTTCATTCGAGCAGGAATCCGTGGATGCGAACTATTAAATAATAGATTCCAATTTGTCTTAGACAGTTCAATATGTCAGTATTATCTGCAGACCATGAAAGCATTAGTTAACTTATATTGCTATTAAATAGACCTTACACAAAATTCATCTAGTTAAAAGAACTTAATCATGTAAAATGTAGTTAAACATTTTATGCTAATATTTCAAGGTTATACATGAAACAAAAAGTAGACGAACACCAACTTGAGTCAGGTATTGGTCCTTGCAAAAGAAATCAAACTTTTTACTAATTAATCTCCCAAAAAAAAGTTCAAAACCAAGAAATAACATTCCAGGAGAAACATATAAATCAAAATTATTCACCTTAGAAACCCATAATATATTAGAAGTGTCTTCCTGCAGCATCAATGCAGGCAGAAGCCACTGGCAACAATACTGAATGAAGTTTACTGGCTCCACATTCAAAACGTAAAGATCCCTTGTCTGTAAGATCAAACAAAAGGCTGAGTTGGTGGGTCCCTTTAACATCACATCACATCATATTCTCCACTGAATGATATATTGCATGCTACCTCAACAAGTGCAACTAAGCTCACACCACAAGCTACCCAACAAAAGAGAATTTGCCCCATGAGCTCTTCCAAATACTGGTCAGGCATTAACAAAAAATAAAAAATAAGTAAGTGAATATAGACTTTAGCAGAAAGTCTCTATACTAAATTTATAACAGAAACCCAACTTAATACCTTTGTCCGGTTTGTATACTGGAGCTCTGTAGATAAACTGTCTAGCACAGCACACACCAATTGCCTGAATAGGGATCGATTCAGAAAATTAGGAAGGCGCTACTGTAACATAAACTTTATTTCCCTTTTATATCTATTTTACCTTTGACGGGGATCAATCGCCGCAATCACACATACCATAAAAACAGCCTGCACATGAAATTCACATTAAAATAGTCAGAAACTGTTTTTTT